GCCACAGCTCCAGCCCCGGCTGCTCCAGCTCCGGCCGCCGCTGCCCCGGCTTCCGCAAAGAGTGACAACAAAAATCCTGCTCGTCGGCGCGAGCAGGTAAGCTCGTCCGATCCATATCCTCATTCTCAACATCGATTTTCGCCTTGCTTGCGCTCACCCACACCCCGCCTCACGCTGCTCCGTCGTTCTATCTGCGCCCCTTTTAGCTCATTCAGCTAGCTCCCGTCCAAGTCGACTCGGCCAAAACCATCAGCACGCAAAAGCTCATTGAACAGCAAGTCAAGGCCGCCGGGGTCTTTGATAACAGCAGTGGCATGCGGCGCGTCGATCTGGCCAGCCTCGAACGCAATGGCGTGGCTTCGGCTGGCCCTTCCGCCGTTTCTGCTCCAACGCCCGTCATCACGCCCATCGGCGGTGGTGCACCCGTGCCCACAGCCTCGGCCCCCGTCGCCGCCAACACCCCGGCCCCAGAGTTCCCGCCTGAAATGTCGGACCACCCCGCCGTTGAGGCCCTGCGTGTCTCACGCCACTGTCTTGAGCAGGCTCAAGGAGCTTTGCAGGAGCGTTGGACTGCTGCCAAGGCTCACGTTGACAAGGAGTTTCAGCGCTTCACTCAAGCCGTCGTCGCACGCCACACCGCTCTGCTGCGCGAGATCGACGACAAGATGTTCCAAGAGTCGGCCCTCTTGGCCAAGCGACAGGTATGCGGACTGACGTGCGACGGTTTCTTAAAACTTGGTTTCCGTGACCAGACGGTCCGAGCGATAGCACTCAGAACCAAACCGCTCATGTTCTCACCATTGCGTCTGCTGGCTCAGACAATGCTGGGACGCTTGACGGTCGAGCTGCAAAGCTGCATGATTCGAGGTGTAGACCCAGAGCTGGCCCTGAAGCTCGAAAGCTTTCGTCAAACGAGTGAGGTCGACGTCGACCACTGGTTTGCGGACCGGGTCACGCTGGATCTCAAGGAAGACGTCAAGAACGTGGGCCAAGCTGGGTCCATCTACTCGGTCGTGAGCGCCCAACCCCCACCCGAGGTGAGTATTTGAACGAGTTTCCAAGTGGCCAATGTCCACCCTTCTGTCTTTGCTGTTCATGATTGCCTTTCTCACTACCCTATTGGCTGGCTTGTAGCAATCGCGACGCAAGGCTCCTGCACGCAAGAAAGAGCTGAAGCTTGCCATGCCCACCAAGTTCGTATGCCGAGAATCGTCTTGTCTTGTCTTGTCTTGTTCAGTCTATGTGCTTTTCAACGCATTCTGTTCAACGCATTTATTTTCTTTTCAAATTGGCTTCTGTTGCTAATCTACGCGTGTGCCTGCATATTGGCGTGAAATTGCTGTAGTCTGATGAATGGCCAGCCCAAGCCACAAGGGGCGGCAGCAAACTCGGGCAGCGCCAATGGCGGTCGTGGTAACAGGAACAAGGGCAAGGGCAAGGGCAAGGGGTCGGACGCACCCGCCCCGGCAGGCAAGCAGGGCAATCAAAAACAAGACAAGCCCAAGCAGGACAAGCCCAAGCAGGACAAGGTCGAGGGCGCCGGCAAGAACAACAAGGCAGCGGCAAACAAGAAAGCCGGCAATAATGAGAAATCGGGCAAATCCCAACAACAACAACAACAACAACAGCAACAGCAGCAAGGTGGCAAGAACACCAACAAGAATCAAAAGAAGGAAAACAAGAGTGCTGAAGCCGAACAAACCAAAGCTCCTTCAACCGAGAGTACGGCCAAGCCACAGCCGCAGCGCGAGCCCCGACGCCGCCGCGATCGCAACTCGCAGAAGAGCAGCGATGTAGAGTCTGCAGACGCCGCCGCAGCGCCTGCCCCCAGCCAGAGTGTCGAAGCCTAACTAATTTTTCTTTTCTTTTGAAGGAGTCTGTGGTTTTCCCAACCCCTTGCACTTCCCGAACCCGCATCCACCACCCAGCTTGACGCCTGCCAGTCTCTGCCACTCTGTTCACCTTGATGTGTTTCTCTGCTTTTTGACAATAATTCTTCTTTGACATTGGCGGTTGCACACTTGCCGTCACTGGGATGTCCCCATCTTTTGACTTTTCTCCTGTCCCAGTTACAAAAGCCAACTCCTCCTTCTTTCCTTTATTGTATTTGTCCGTCGACCTGCACCCAATCCACCCCTTTTCCGATCTTGACGCGTGCTTTTCCACTTTTGACAGGAGTGCAGATCAGGTTGCGGTTTTATGTCAATAATTACAATGACAACAGTCGAACAAATCGATGCCAATCAAAGCGCAACGTTGCCGCATGTATATCGGCTCGAATAAATCTGATCTTGGATCTTGATGTTCTGATCAATGTGGAATGGCATCGGCACTGTGTCAAATTAATTCGACATATTTGAAGACGTGGTCCGCGTCAGGCTCCAGGACGCAGTCCGTGTGGCCAACGCCAACCTGTTTCTAAGGTTGTTCAAGTCGCTTCTTTTCCTGTTTTTGATTTCTAACTACATTCGGATGTATTTTTGTGTCTCTGATGTAGAAAGCGGAGAAAAGTACCGTCGGACAACTCGTGCCTTGTCAGCGATGCAAACTGGGTTGGATTGTGTAGCGATGCGGTCGAACCCCCTTATTGGCTGAGTTCCAGCACTCACATAAGATGGCCGTGGAAGAACAACAATATTATTACTCTATGAGCAAAACGGATAACAAGAAAAAAATTTGAAATTGAATTGTATGTCTTCCAAGTATGGGACGCGAAAGGCAATGGCCGCCCGCGCTCCCCAACGAGATATTGCACGAGAGCCACGCCATGATTTTTGGCATAGATTCACGCCTCATGATTGACCCTGAGCCATCGACTAACCCACCACGAACGCGCAAGAACCAAGCTATACACGCCAACAACGACACAAACATGTAATTTCAAAGTGGGTAGATGTTGCCCATCCTGCCACAGTTCATTGCGGTCAAGCGAGAAAACAGGGCCAAGAACCAAAGCTCGGTGAAGAACCAGGGAGCAAGTGAAAAGGGCGACAGATGTTCCGGCAGCAGTGTCAAGCTTAATCCACCACGTGCAGCAGACGCATGCAAAGCCCTAGTTCATGCTTTGGTTGACTGGCATTCCATTTAATCAGCCAAGAGATCATCCTCATCCTATACACGGCAGGTGGCAGGTGAGCCATCACGGCGAGGCAACGACGTGAAACAGGGAGGAGGACACGAAGCGGGGTGGAATGACAAAGTCTCACACGCACCAGATCATCCGCGGCTGTGGCGTCGACGTCATCCAGATCGAGGTCCAAGTCATCATCCAGGTCATCAACCTCAGGCTGTTCCTCAGGCTGTTCCTCTTGCTCGTCTGCGGGCTGTTCAATGGTCTCTGCAGGCGCCGCAACCTCCTCCTCGTCACCAAAGTCAAGATCATCGTCTTCAATTTCCTGCTCCTCGGCCTCTTCCACTGCCTCCTCGGGCGCTGGCGCTGACACGGCGTCCACAGGCGCGGCGGGCTGTGCGCTGCTGGTGGTGGCAGCAGCAGCAGCCAAATTTCGCTCCCAAGCAGGAACCTGACGCTCGGCTTGCACGGCCTGGTATTGGCTGGCCGGGGCAGCATGCACGTTGCGTGCCCTATCAAATCATGAACACGAAAAAAAATCGTGAGAACTCATTCCAACTACATGCAGGCCGTGGCACGAGCGTGGGCGGGTACCTACTTGAGAGCAGCCTCCAATTGCAACGACTCTTGGAAGTTGGGGAACAGGTTTTCGTACTCGCTGGGCGAGGCCAGCGCTTGCGACAGTTTCGGGCGCGACTTGCTCAGCGATTCCTTCCAAGCTGCAGTGATTTCCTCCACACGGGAGGGAACGTAGGTGCGTGCAAATAGCGCGGCTTCGGCCACACGGTTGCTTTCCAGCAGCAGGTCGATGCATTCGCTCGCTTTGCCCTGCAAGAAGAGAGCCAAGAACCCAATGTTGTGCTTGCCCTCGGCCACGGCGTCGCAAGCCAAGCCCTGAAGCTTGTCTGCCTTGCCAGCGGAGCTGTGCAGCACAAGACACGACGAAGTGAGGGGTCAACAGGGGTGCACGTGACGGTCGGGAGTTGTGACTCGAGCAAGGCAGTAGCATTCACAACACACTGTAAGGTGTGCAAGCGCTCGGGTTGCGTACCTGTAGAGCAGAAGCTGGCCGCTGTAATCGTGGGCATGGGCCAAACATTCCTCGGCCAGATCAAACATGGATTTCTGCATTGCGGCCTCAGCCAGCAGCTTCCACTTGTGCACGTTGTCCAACTCCTGGGCCAGCTCGCGGGCGACGATGAGCTTGTGCAGGCTAAGAGCAAGCTCGAAACGGTGTTCGGCGTCTGTGGAAACGACCAGAGCTTGCTCTTTGAAGCCCCGCTTCTCGAGGAAGTGAGCCACGCGCGTGCGCTGATCAGCAGGAATGTTGGGCATGACTTCATCAGCAGCCTCAAAGTCGCCGCGCATGACAGCCGTCTGGTATTCGAGGACCGCCAACGGGAGCTTGTAGGAGATGATGTTCAGGTCCTTGTCACCCAAGTACACGCGGCCGGTTTGGCTGAGGTAACCCAGAAGGTACATGGAGCGATCCATGTGGGAGACGGTGACAATCTCGCCACCAACGTAGTAATTGAGGCGGTTGCCCTTGTTGGTGTAGATGAAGCAGTCACCCACCCAGCAAGCAGTGTTGACCGAGTCTGCAATCTCCTCCAGCACCTCAAGGGCATCTTCGATGCCTTCCTCATCAATCTCACCGCCCGAAGCCACAACCTCGGCAACAGCATCGGCATTGTAGGACAGCATGTAGAAAGTGTCGTCATTGGTCACGATTGTGAGTTTATCGCCAGCCTCGGACCAGAACACGTTGACGGCGTCGATTTCAATGCGACGGATCAGCTGCAGGCTCTCCCAGTCGTAAAAGCTCAGCGTTCCAAAGCCGCGCACACCAAGGAGCGTGCCACCGAAAATTCCTAGAGTTCAGGGCACCGCGGTGAGGTAATGGCGCACGGTTGTTCCCAATGAGCGTAGCGTTGGGGAAAAACAAGAAGAAGGAGAAAAGAAAAGAAAAGAACAGGGGAGGGAGATGACGGTGGCAAACCAACCTTCGGCGCTAAAGTCGGGCTTGAGGGTTGCCTTTTCTTTAAAGTTCTTGAACAGCTTGACCTTGGAGCTGCTTTCACGAGTGGCATACTCTGAGGCATCGGCACCCCACACAAACTCAAGAGCCTGACCAAAGGCCTTGTTGCGGAAGGAGAGCGCAGTATGGATGTTGTACTCGCCATCACCACACACCACCACAAAGCGGCCGTTGGGATTGTGCGACAGGGACTGCGGGAAAATCTCGCACGAGCCCAGCTCCTGCATGAATGAAATACGACAGACAATGAGCATGGCGAGTTGGAACGCGACTGTAGGAGGTTGGGGGTTGCATGTAGTTTTTTTTTTTTTTTAAATCAACATGTGCGGGAAGAGGAGCGGACCTTCATGGCGAGGGGCAGGGGTTCGCCGTCCTTGATCGAGTCCTCCAGCTTGAGAACGTTGGCTTGTTGAACTTCGTTGTGCTTGGTGACGATGATCTTGCCATTGTTGTCCATGGACATGGCCGGTTCTTCACGTCCCAGCTTGACCATGATGGCACCGTCGTCGTAGGCGATGGCCACGTTGTTGGTGCCGAGGCGGCAGCTCATGGCCCAGACGCGTTCCATACCGTAGTTGAGGGTGTTCTCAAGGCGGTAGGTGTTGGAGTGCCAGACGCGGATGGTGCCGTCTTCGGCGCCCGTCAGCACAATGGGGAGCTCGGGATGAAAGGCAACAGCGCACACGTTCTGAGTGTGTCCCTCAAGCGTCTGAAGGAAGGAGCATGCGTCAAGCGTGGTGGAAGGTCAAAGGTGTAAGGATTCACGAGGAAGCCAGCGAGACCAGGTGAAAGACCAAGGTTGTTTCCGTGGGAAAAAAACAACAACCGAAAAAAAAAAAAAACCAAAACCAAAACCAAATCCAAAAACCAAAAACCAAGAAACCAAAAGACAAAACGCCAAGCGAACACGCAACGAAGAAGCGTAAGCACAGGTCCATGGAGGGTGACGCACCGCAACGCAGGCCTTGCTTTGGTAATCCCAAATCTTGACGGTGCAGTCATCGGCACCAGAGACCAGGTAGGGCTTTTCACCTCCGGGAAAGTAGTCGATGCAGTTGACGCCCTTGGCATGACCCTGCAGGGTAAAGTTGGGCTGGGCGGCGCCAAGCTGCCAAACCTTGATGGTGCGGTCCAGGGAGCACGAGGCAAACGTGTTGGTATCCTTGGGATTGAAGGTCACGGCCATGACGTAGTGCGAGTGCCCCTCAAAGACCTGTCATTGGGTAAGCATAAGCCCAGACGTAAAAAAAGGTCGACGGCCAAGGGTGAGCAAAGATTCACCAAGCAGGGAGTAAGACAGGAACAAAAGGAAAAAAAAAAAAATCCAAGAGGCACGCAGAATCATCAGGTTAAGCGGGCGGCGGTGGCGACACTTGCCTGTTTGCATTCCCAGTTGGCATTCCAGTCCCACATGCGAATGGTGGCATCGTCGGAGGAGGAGAGGACGTAGGACTGTGTGGGGTGCACGGCGAGGGCGCGGATGTAATCAGTGTGGGCCTCGAAGCTGTGCGCCTTTTCCAGCGTGTTGTAGTTGAACACGGAAATGCGCATATCATCCTATAGCCAAGAAAGGGAAAAAAAAAAAAGAAGTAGAAAGGGAAAAGAAAAAGAAACAGAAGGGGTCAGGATGAGAAGGACGAGGAGGGTGAAGCCGCCCAATGCCCAAACAAAGCGACAGCTCGGGCTGCCCGAGGCGAGGCAACGGAAAAAAAAAGGGGTGGCAAAAGCAACAGTGTGCGCTGAGGAAGACGGGGGTACAGACCGAGCCGGTGACAATCCAGTTTTTGCGGTCAATGAAGCGAGCCGCGCGCACGGGAAGCTCTGTGACTTCAAAGGTCTTGATTTTGGTCTGAGAATTGTAGTTCCAGACGTGGACCGAGCCATTGTAGAGGGCAACCAAGAGCCAAGGTTCTGTGGGATGAATATCGATGCCCTTGACGCGATCGCTGCGCGCGCTCAGCTGGCGCTTGATGTCCAGACGCAACGGCTACGTGTGTGGCAAGGCGTTAGCATGCGTCTCTGATCAAACATGTGTTTGTGCCATCTGGGAGGGGGCATGGTTTGGTCTAGCAAAGGTGCCTGAGCGAGCTTCAGCAAGGCGTGTGACGCACCATGGTGGCGGTTCAAGACACGATGAGGACAGAGGGGATACAACTGGCAGCCAGAAGCCTTGCAACGTCCACCCGAGCGACAGTGAACGGGAGGAATCTACGTAGCCAACGGCAAGGAAACCTCGCGAGCTAAACATGTATCGGATGATACAAAATGCCAGCAAAGCAGAGTAAAAAAAAAAAAAAAAAGTGAGTCTTGAGCACGAGAAAAGCGAGCGCGAAAGGCCGTGAAGACGGAGGAGGAAAGAGTGATCACGACAGGACAAGACGGGCCAAGAGCAGGGCACACGGGACGAGTTGCCGGGAGAAGCACTTGGGCATTAACAGGAGAGTCGGAATGGCACAACGTAACACAACAGCACGCTGCCCTTTGTAACTTTCTGGTCGATCAAGAGAGCGGGGTGGGGGACACGAGGAATCAGTGGCTCGGATCTCCTTGCAGTGATGACCACACGAATAGACGGATCCGATCAAGCCATCGGATCCGCCTGCTGCATTTGCACCATCACCGACCCCACTGCATCTGTCGCCCGAACGCGCTGCCCTTTTGACCAACGTGCTCCAGTGGGAGCAAGCGCAAGCGAGAGAGGAAAAAGGTCACAAGTACAGAGACAGAGAGAAGGAGAGAAGGAGAGAGAGGGAGAGGAAGACAGCCAAGCGTAAACGAGTCCGGCTAGCCTTCACCCGGGTACGAGTGCTCAGGCAAACACCCATAGCCCTTTGGCACAGTCCGGCACGGCGCTGCCATTTCAACTCACAGCGAGAGAAGAGAGAGAGAGAGAGAGAGAGAGAGAGAGAGAGAGAGAGAGAGAGAGAGAGAGAGAGAGAGAGAAGAGAGAGAGAGAGAGACACACACACACAGAGACACAGAGACACAGAGACAGAGAGAGAGAGAGAGCAACTCACCCCTTGAAAGTGTCACTTGGGGTCAGGTCTCTGGAAATGCTCTGAGGCTGTGAATGTCAGATGAAAAGATTCTCTGAATGTGCCACCCTGAACTGGTCAACCTCTTCTTATACGTTGAGGTTTTCTCTAAGGCATGGCCGTTCCAACAGGGATCCCCTCAAAGTTACAATCCATCATTCCGTGTCTCTGCCTCAGAAGACATACCCTCAAGTTGACTGGTGCAACGAGTCTCTTCAAGTCTCTTCAAGTCTCCTCAAGTCTCTTCCCAGGCACAACTGTTCTCAACACCTGTCGAAATGCGCTGTTGTGTCAGCGTTTCGGAAGGACCTGCAGCCTTTTTGTCAGCATACCAAACAACCTGTTGGCGTCAAGTCTAACACAAGTCACACTTAAATAACATTCGCGTCATCAGTCACACGCAAAGTGTGACACAATACACACTGTAAAGGGCTCGCAAGCTGGTTCCACGCAGGAATTCAGTTGGTAACAGCTGTTGCGACCAAACTTCCCATGTGTTTTACTTTTTTTTTTTTTCTTTTTTTTCTCTTTTTTTTGGGATTTTTATTTTTCTTTGTTCTGGTCATTGAAACGGCAGCGCCACTGCCTTTCTGCTGCTCGGCTGCCGTCGTAGCCGCTGCCGTCTGCCGTGCAGGCAGACCCTTGCGCTTGATCGCGCATTTGGGACAACCTTCCCTTCGTCACGACCTGCCGGCGTTTTAGCCCGGGTGACCCTGACCGCCACCACCCAAAGGTCAGCACGAGATTGCTTGCGATGACATACCTGACCTCGATCCTGTCACATTCTCTGCTTTTGGTTTCATTCCGAGTATGATCTCTGCTTTTCGCATGACTTTTGCCTTTGTGGTTCTCGTTGATCTTGAAGCTTCTCTGCCGTTGCGCTGTGATGATCCTTCTCTCTCTCTCTGTGTCTCTTGCGTGTGGTGGTGAAGTGCGTGAGTGCTCTCTGGATCATAACGGCAGCGCCGCTGCATCAAGCCAGCACCGGGACCCACAACAGAGTGTGAACAAGCGTGCGTGTGTTTCCTTCGATCCCTCCCCTGCTTTCCCGTTGGTCTTGCTGCCATTGTGGCTTGCACACACAAATGCAGGCAGCACTGACTCGGAGCCTCGTGTGTCCGTTGAGCTAAATTTGTAACGTGATGTGGCAGTGCAAACCTCGACTTGGTGCCCCTCTGCTCCCGCTCCCCGATCACCCTGTCGACCCATTTTGCTTCCCTTGTTCTTGTTCTGAACCCTTGGTTTTTTGATGGCGTCCAGCTTGTGCTGTCGCCATTTGCCCTTTTTTTGCCTCTCTCTCTCTCTCTCTCTCTCTTTTTCAAAAAAACACCTCACGATTGCCGTGCTCGTCTTGCGTGCTCGTCCTGCGTGCTCGTCTTGCGTGCTCGTCTTGCGTCTTGCGTGCTCGTGTGACCTCACTGCGCAACTGTTTTTGTCAACTCGCCTTTGTACTTGTTCCAGACCAATTTTTTCGTCTTGGTCTAGCGCCTTGATCATCCTTTCCGACCGCCACCATGGACTCTCTTTTTGCAAACCTGCACGGGGCAAACGGCGATGCTTTGAGTGCCTCAGACTTGATGAGCGCTGCCTCGGACGTGTGGATCTCCGATTCCGCTTCGGACTTGCATTTTGCTTCAGACGTGTTTCTCGAAGATGCAGATGCCTCCAACACACTGGAATCCGTCTTTGGCGAACCCATCGCCTGTCCCGCCACAGCTCTGTCCCATCAAGAACAGCAACACAACGCAGCCCAACTCCTCGTTCTCCCAGAGCAACAACAACCACAACAACCACAACAGCCACAACAGCAACAACAGCAGCAGCAACCGCCTCAACATGCCTCGAATGCCTCCTTGCTTACCGCCACACCTTTGCCCATCACGGCCACAGCCCCGGGCCTTCTACCTGCATCCACCGCCTCGACCACCACCTCCGGAAAACGCAAGTGCCACGCCACTTCGCACGGCGTGGCACCCCCTCCCAACCCCACAAAACGCCCCTACACGGCGACCCCGACACTCCCCCAACACAACCCCTCCTCCGCTCGTCCCCTGTCTCAAGCGCCAGCACAGGCGTACCTGGCCTTTCCCGGCCAATCCCTTCAACTGTCACACCAACAGCGACAATCCCAACACCGGCCGCAAGAACACCAACCCCAGCAAATGGCACAACAACAACAACAACAACACATTCAACGCCAACAACAACACCAACAACAACAATCTCATCAGCAACAACAACTACAACAACAATCTCAACCGCAATCGCAATCAGCGCAACAACAGCTGACAGAACTGCGCCCACAAGCTGGCAGCGCTTACGCAGCCCACCCCAACACTACTCCTTCTCTGCTTCCTCCGCCCCACTCGGGCAACAACCATGCCTCCTCAAGTGGTGCCCAACAAGACCTCGCCCCTCCCAACACCCTCTGTCCTCCATTGAGTAGCTCCGCCTTTGCCTCAGCAAAACGACAAGGGCTGACTCCGGAAGGGGCCCTGGCTCAGTTTCTCACTTCCATTACCGACGAGGAACGTGCCCTGATCATCTCAGAAGGCGTTGACGTCCCCCTCTCGGGCCTCATCACCCAAGCGCAGAGCCGCGAACTCAAACGCATGCGCCGCAAGGTCAAAAACAAGCTCTCCGCCAAAGACTCTCGTCGTCGACGCAAGGAGTACGTCACTCAACTCGAGGAGGAAAACGCTCAACTCCGTGCCCGCCTTGTGACCCTTCACGATCAATCCATGGCTCGTCAGTCCATGCCAGCTACCACCTCCTCCTCCTCCTCAACCACCACCACCACCACCACCACCACCACTACCACGAGCAGTGCTTCCCCGTCACGCGCCCACTCACAGCCTTCCTCAGGTCGTCGCCCGGCATCACGCCAGCATCATCAAACTTATGCCATGGTCATGATCATGCTGGCCCTCTCCTCCTCCACGACGCGCCTCGGTTCTCAGCCCCTGACAGGCGCCCCCAGTCCCAACCTTAGCCTCAATTTGGCAGAGAAGATGGGTCATGGGCACAATGCCGTTTTGGCCTCATCCCCGCTCTCTGGCTCAGACTGTGAAAGCGTCGATGACCTTTACGGTGACGCGGGTTCAGAGCTCGGGCTAGCTGAAAACCCTCTATTCTCTGATCTAGCTAGCAATCAAGACGCCGACCTCATCGAGCCCCTCTCCACCCTGCTCAAGCAAGGCACCGCCGGTCTCAACATGCATGTTGCCAACCTTCCTGTTGCTCTCCAGCAACAGCTCGCCCACGTTCTCTCGACTGCTGGTCCCCAGTTTGACTCGGGTGCCATCGAACAGGCTATTGTTCTTGCCCCAAAGTCCAATGACAATCTCTGGATGCAGGATACCGCTCCCAAGATTGAGCCAGTCAGTCAATAATTGGCCAAATCTTGGCCGGTTCTACAACCCCATTTTGTCTTTTTTTTTTTTTTTTTCAGCTCCAAATCACAAATTTGCAGTGCCGCCGAACCTTGGCCCCATGGCCGAGCGGAAAAGACACGATTCCTGTGAGCAGAGCAACAAAAAGGTGACGGAGCATCGCACGACACAAAAGCTACGAAATTCACAAACTCAAGAGCAAAAATAAAACCAAATACAAATTATCAACGACAACAAAGACTGCGCCGTTCGAAGGTGTCCGCATGACTACCTTCTTTGTTTGAATACCCGCCGCGCACGGACCACCGCGTCATTTTGCCACCGGCAATAAAATGCCCGCCAACTCGAATCACTTGCAAATAGGGCCAATCGGATTGAATATGCTCAAAAATCGAACAGAAAGTGTTTTTCTTCTTGAAATCTCTCGTTTGCCAGACATAGCGCGGCTCGGGCATAGAAGTGGATCGGCAGAGATGATACATCGTGTACAAATCTCGATTGCGCTTCTTGTTCTCTTAAATCCCTATTCATAAATCTGATTGCCTGCGTGGCCATCCCTTGCGCCCTTGAGCGGTTCTGTCTCGACTTGAAGGCCCAGGGGCTTCATAGCCTCTCAAAATCGACCTATCCTTCACGCTGGCGCTCAGCCCTAAAAAGTCAACCGCTTCTTTTCACGCCTGCCACCATGAACAAAGAGAGAGCACCGACAGAAATTGTGTGAAGGACACAAGCTTTTGCAAAGCCAAGTCAAACCACGAGTTCGTAGCTTCGTAGAAATAGCAAGCTAAACTCGACGTACCTTCGCGAAGATAGGAGGTACGAAGCGTCCTCGATCAAGTCATGCGACTCTGTTTTGAACATGTATACGCATTCCAACAAACGCGCACGCTTGGCTTGTTGCATAGCCTGTGTACGAGAGCAAGAGACATGGGGTAGAGCACGATTGAGAAGGGGGGAACACAAAACACACTAGATCGGCCCGCCTCTGAACGGTCAGAAGCTGACCTTGGAGCTCTGCGCGCCTGATACTCGACTTGCTGCCACGACCGCGGATGGTGTACCATTCGAAGAAGATTGCGTCGAGTCTGATACAAGCTTTTTTTTCCTTCCTCGTCTCTTGGGCTTTTCAACCTCTACTTTGGGCAGTGCCGCGGCAACGCATGTCGCAGGTCCGGGCTTGGCATCCTGGCCCTTGCAAGCACGCTCTACTTGACTTTGCAAGGACCGTACTGTCCGCTCTCGCAAAGCAGCACGTTGCTCCTCCTCATCTGTCGTTCCCCGCCGTCACGAGCAACCAATGTTATTTGCAAAAGCACACCTTGCGTGCGCAAAATTGCAAAGCACATACCCTGAATGGGGTGACGTTGCACGTCAAGTGGTTTTGGAAACGCTTGCCATTCCGCTGGGTGCTCACACACTTGCAAAATCTGCATTGATGGTCTGTTCCCAAGCAAGCGTCGCAGGCCAGACAGTCAAAAAGAACAAGATGAGCTTTAAAAAGCCACACGTTCTTGAAACGGGACAAGAGCGTCATCTACCGGTCCAAGTTTGACCAGTCGTGCTTGGGTCGAGGCCGATAGATGCGATCTACAAGGTACACATGGCTCTCGTGCCCGGACCGAGTCGGTCGACCTACAGCCATGGAAATTTGGATGAAAGAAAGACACGAGCAAGTGACGTGAATGTGTGTGACCCACCACACAAAGCCTCAACCATCAACGGACTCTCAGACCAGCATCTGCATACAAACCACTAATGTACTGGGCGCGGTGCAGCACGCAGCAATGGCCACGATACAAGTGGGCTGGGATACTGCGCATCTCGGGGGAAAAGGCCAGCTACAGTCAACATGCCAACGCAAATCGCACGTGTCATCCTAAGCCTTTAAGTTGCTGTCGCATCAAGGGTGGACTAGAATTCAAACAGGCACGGCAACCGAGGAGAGCGAGGGGCGGGGGGGGGGTGTACCTCTTGAGGATGAAATTGGTGGCGGGGCTCACGCATGGAGTGCTCAGGAAAGAAGAAGCAACGGCCTGTCAGCCAAGGCTGGCCGTTGGCATCGCGCCACAGCTGCATTGCATCAGGTCATTAGTCCATGTAGGGTGTCGTATAGCACCAGCACGAGGGCACGCGCGCAAGACATACCATTTCGATGCGCATGACCTCGTAAACCTGTCGCGCTTGCGGGTGGTTGGCGGGAATAGTACCTTGCCCCTTGGGCCACGAACGCTATCGTTGTTGTCCATACAAAGCAATGCCATCAATAGCAATCGAGTTCCTCGTAAAACCAACAAAGCAAAACCAGAAGCAAAACTACATCGGTTCTAATCTCGAGTCTCTCAAAGCGCACAAACAGGCTCCTTTACCTGCTTTGTGGGTTTGAGCGAACTACGGCGCACGGAGCTCATCAAGTGATCTTCGAGCGCCTCCGAATTTTCTGCCACGACATAAATGCAATCTCCCAAGCGCAGAAGTGCAGGCTTGGCGTCATGCCAAGGATTTGTGACCTCAAGCGTTCGGTAATGCACCAGAGTTTCATCCAGCTGTTCTTCAAGAGTCGCCACTCGACTTGCCAAGCGTCTGCTAGCGCTGCGCATCTGCGCGTGCTTGGCTTTGAGCTGTTTGGCAGCCTGTTCTCCCCGGGAGATAGCAGGCCGGGAGATGGCCAACGCCAGGCGTGTGAGCGTCGGTAAATGTGACACGATGACGTGCATCGCAAAGCAGACACCAAGGCAAACCTACGTTGTCGTAAACCTGCAAGGCCATGGTTTGTGCCAGCAATCGTCGCGAATGGTCAATCACATCTGAGAGCGTGACACTGCCATGCCCTTTTCGACGATATGATAGGGTCGTGATGAGTTCAGTAGACTTGGTATTGGTTGCTGTTGCGGTAGATCGTAGGTGAACCATCTCATCCACCGCTTGGGTTAACGCATTCGCATCGTCGCTGTGTTCAAGGCTAAACAACAAGTCCAACAGCATTCGGGTGCGTGCCTCTGTGAGGCCACCTTTGGAGATGATCGATGCACTTTCTGCGGCGAGAATTGGCATCCCTTCCGCGCTCAGAGTGGGAGGAGTTGGTGGTCTCGTGGGATGAAGCGTGCCGATGGAGTCTGATGTCGGTGTTGTTGCGACTGGTAAAGCCATGTCGGAAGAGGCTAACGGTGTGGAAAGAGGCCCTGCCCCTCTTCCGCCACCCAAATTCTTGTTGTCAAGATCAGAGAGTCCATCCAGCTCGTACAAAGGCAGGTCTGAGACGCTGCTGCTCTCACTCGTAGACACGGGACCTGCCACTTCCACCGCTGACCACCTGGCTGGATTAGGTGGTAGCATGGCAATATCAGCCTCAAGCGCAGCACGCACCATCCTACCCGTATGCGTGAGATGCGGATGCGCGGGAATGGGATGAGTCACACCGATCAAAGACAAGAAACGAGTCCAAGCAGACGGTGTTACGGAGCAAAAAAAAAAAAAAAAAAAAAAAAAAAAAAAAAAATAAAAAAATAAAAAAAAAAAAAAAAAAAAATAAAAAAAAAAAAAAATAAAAAAAAAAAAATAGTGGCGCAGCAGACGATACCCGAGGAAGCTGCGCGTTTTGTTGCGTCGATTCGTGAGTTGCTGCAGTGAGGCCTTGGCCTCGCTCAGCTGCGTTTGGTCACGTTGAGGCAAAATGAGCAAAAGATATCTTCAGTTTGTACACCAACGTATGAATGATCAGCGGATGTTCACACCTCTGAATGCAAGGCATCGCGAGATGCCTCGACGGCGCGCGCCTCAGCTTCAGCGTCGATCAACTGGGCTTGTAGATCACGCCCTTGTGGTGCAAGTCGCGCTATCCCATATAAGACCGCGGTGAGCAACAGAGAAACCTCCACGCAGGGCAAACGTGCTCAGACAACTGACCTTGATCAGCCAGACGTTCGACATCGCTGTCCAGAGGTACTTCACGGCTGCGTGGAATGCCCGCGCAAAGCCAACAGCGGTAGTCTTGCACCTCAGCAGCCGCCGCCATTGTGGTTCCCATGCAGACCACATGCTGCCACGTCTGAGCCAGGATTGAGAAAAAGGCCATCAGGTCCCAGGATGGAGTGGGACAGCATGGGGGAATAACCGTTCAAAAAACGTATCAGCGACACAGGCGCAAGATGTATCGGACGACAAAGAGGAATGGCAAAGACAAAATGGTCATCTCGGCGCGACACGCACCCCACAGCTGCAGCATTGAACCATGTTTCCTTCATCGACAAGAGACTCGCAGACACAACTAAAGCAGATTGGGGCGTGGTGGGGGGGGGGGGGGGGGCAAGTGAAGATTGCATGAATCAATAAGGCGGTGTGACGCCTATGGGCCTGAGAGAAAGCAACCGTGGTGGTGACGTACCGAATGTGGTCAGACCACGGTGTTTTCGCAATGACACCCGTCTTGTCATCAACATTCCTGTTGGCATCGGCCCCGTGTTCGACGGCATCTCCGTGCATGGAACGGACTGCGACTGCCATGGCCTCGCTGGTATTGCGGACTTGATCTTGTAGGACTCGGCCACGATTCTTCAGAATAAGATGACGTACAGCTAGAATGGAGCGGTGTTCTTTGGAGCCTGCATGTGTAAAGCAAAGGATGAGGCATTTCGAAGGGATGGCTGGCTCGAGTATTAACAAAACAGATTGGCTCATGACTGGCAAAAGAGCTAGGCACGAGTGCACGAGTGCTGGCCGTGGATCTGACCTCGAGCAAATTTGTGAAAAAAGGCATCGCACAAAGCTAGCAAGTCCTGTAAGCAGTCCTCGATATTCTTGTATTGGCCATCGTCCACACGCTCAGCAATGTCGTCCCAAGTCAACACTCCCTGTGCCATTTGTCAGGAAAAAAAGCAAACAAACGGGAAAAACAAAACAAAAGTACAAAAAAAGTTCTTGTCAGCGCTCGTGGCAAGGTAGCAGATTCAGTGGCGACGACGATATTAGGCATCGGCAAGATTGTACGCACGTTTTCACGCGCCAAGCGTGGGAGCGCGCGCATTAAGGGCCGGGCAACGAGGCCCAGTGTCTTGCTGCGATGAGAGCTGAGTAAGCTGAGAAAATCATGCAGGGTAGTGGCCACGGCGACACGCTGATCAATCAGCCACTCCGGGTGAGCATCCAACACGTCGTTTACGCGCGAGCTTCGGCCTACCAGACAGGGCCGACACAAAATCATGAGTATAGCAGCACAGGATGATGTGGCGTGAGAGCCACGTGCGATAAGTGCGGAGCAACTCAGAACTTCATTCGTCACCTTGAAATTGGTGTGCACGCCAAGCTGCAAAGCGGGCTTGAAAGGTCGATTGCATGAGCTGAGCCTGCTGTTGCAAGCGCTCAGCTTCAATGCGCTCAGCTTGCAGAAAGTTGCGCTGCCCTTCAATCGTGCTCTCCATCTGAAACAATAGGAGGCGGACACCAAAAAGGTAGGTGAGCCAAGCTCGGGTTGCCATACAATCGACCGGAGAACTGGGTTTAAGGCACAAGAGTCAAGGCGATGGTCCAACGTGCCTTGAGTATGGGTCGCGGTAGAAAAATGTGGTTCGCGCGAACTGAGGCAAGCTGGCGCTGTGTCAAGGGCACAAATGCCTCGGCGCGCTCTTCAGCCTGCGCATGCCGATTTGGAATGGATGGTGCGAGCCATAAGAACCATGCGAATCACAAACGCAGCAAGAGAAAGCTTTGGATATCGTTGCCCCGCTTTTTCCTTAATCTTTGCATCATCATGTCTGCGCATCAGTACTTACCGAGCCTTTGTGCCAAAAGAAGGGGCGCCACAGCTGAGCAGGCTCAGTGCCTTCCTCAATGGCAAGTCTCAATGCGCTCAGACGACTTGTGCGCCGAAGCCGGTCATCACGCGCCTTTGGTCGGATGAAACCACGGCAATTGGAAGCACCACAGTGGCAAGCCTGGCACGCACAACCCATTGAGCAGCACGTCGTCAGCATGTCCAACTACGCGCAGCAATGTCTAAAACCCAGGCCGGCTGGCGCTGAGTGTAGCGCGAAACCAACCATGTCTTCCTTGAAAGACTCAAAGTTGTAGTCATAGGTGAGTTCCTCTCCAGCACGAATGGGCCGCTTGGCAAAAATTCCAACACGCCAATGACCTAGGGGATAGTGTGCATGCATCATTCATTCGGCGTTGGCGACCGGTGAGACAAAGCCTCGAGTTCAGGTATTTGTTCATTTGGTCCACATGGCAAACGTCTCATGAGAAATTCCTCTGAAACTTGCCGAGAACACTCCACTTTTCGATGCAGCAGTTTGGGTCACAGCTATGATTGATGTAGCGAGCATCGCAGCCGGCTTTTCCGGCATCAATGACGAGTCCACCATCTAAATTAAGGCAGTGGAAATGCTTGCGATTCTGCAGCGGGCCAAGCGTATGACCAGCCCAAGTGAGGACCAGGTCACGGCGGTCAGAGGGGCACGGAGGTCAAGAGGCGCCGCAAGACCTCGTAAGTGGTGGCGACGCGTTCCGCAAACTGCTCGGTGGACAAAACTTGGCCCACGTATTCCATAACAAAGGTTCCCTACAGAAAAAGACGGGATGGCATTGGCGGCATCAAGCTAAGTGAGGGCCGAAAACAAGTCAAACGGATACTCGCCGGAAAAACCAAGGTTGCCGTCGATGCTGAAGTATAAAGATGTGAAGCTCACCGCTGGAATATCGGCCGTGGTGATGATTCCAAAGCCTTTAAGGGGGAAGTGGATGCGCTTGAGCTGACGCCACCAAGAGCGGCGCTGGAAGCTAGACACAGTAACCGGGCCCGGATATGAGCAAAAAGGCGGGCTAACATGCATGGTCCCAGTCCCAGTCCCCAGGAAGGAACCGGCCACGTGATGTGGTTGGTCAATGGCCGTGAGCTTACCGTTGGTTGCTGCATTGATCACCACAGGGGCAGCGTTGGGGATGACACTCAAAATACCTGCATGGTTGTTGTCGGGGCCACGATGGCAATGAGTTTTGAAGGCGACGGGAGCGAGCTGCAAGGGTTGGCTAAGAGCGGGGATGCGTCTGGGTGGTACCAACATGAGTCGGTTCATGCAGTCGGGTCCGCAGCCTGGCTGATATGGATCAGCGACACAATTGCAAACGTTGACCTCATGACGCATCTACTCGGGCCGAGAGGGAGGGAGCACACAGGGAGTGTTGAGCGAAAGCTTTGGTGGACATCAGTCATGACTTGGGGTTGGGCTTGATGAAATACCGGTCGAAAGTCAGGCGGTAGCTGTGAATAATCGTTGGTCTTCCGAGACGCAAACGTATCGCTTTCTGTTTTGAGTTTACGGGCGCCACGTCCTCGGGCCGAGCGAGAACGCTGCTGAGAAGCGGCGAGGGCATTGTCAGTCGCAGTAGCTTCGACGACTGGAGCCGATTCGTTGACGGGAATGGCTCGGCGTTGAGGCTGGGTGCTTTTGCGGCCTGCGGCACCATGTGGGTTCACAGCTTCTGCAGTACTTGGAATGGCGGGGCTAGATTTGGATTTCGAGCTTGCCGTGCGTTTGCGACCCGGGCGCGAGGGGCCACGGCAACGTGAGCTGGTCGGCTGCGTAGATGAATCGGCAGTGTTCTTGGGGCGCGTTGCTTTGCCTTTGGTTTTGGCCACGGTCGTTTTGGGTGTAGGCAAAGCCGTCACTTCTTCCCATATGGCATATGGTAGCTCGAACGCCTTGAAA